AGATTTATAAAATAAATAAAAATTATAATAAAATGTAATTTTTCATAATTAGAAAAAGATTAAGAAATTAAGGAATTTTATATCACTATAGTAATAATATCTATATATTATCATCTAGTATAATCATCATATATTTTTATTATATTACAAATTCTTTTCAGTATAAAATAAATTAAATTTATATAATAATTCATATTAATTTTTTTCTATAAGTCTTTCATATCCAAAATTAAAACTAAAGATAATGATTTATTTCATTTTATAAATTTTAAATTGGATGATTATTCTAGTCAATCTAAAATAATATTATTATTATCATTAAATTACTCTTTTGTCAAATTATTTATATATTTGAAATTATTATTTTGTTAAAAAATAATCTAATTAATAGTAAATCCAAGTTCTTTAATAATATTCTTAAGATTTTTGTCTAGAATTTGCTGATATAATATATTATTCATGTTCTTATTAATCTTATAAAAGTTATCAATATCACAAAAGTGAAAGAATCTCATATTATTATTTTTAGATTTAATATAATAATTTTTTAATAACTTACCTGTTCTTTTTCAATAATACTGTTTTCTATCAGATATAAAAATCTGAAACTTAGATTTATTGGATCAGATTATCTTTAACCAATCTTTATAGATCCAGTTTTTATATTTTTTGACAAACTCAAGATGGATTTTGTTGATATTTAGACTTCAAATATAATTTTTTTGTTTTATTCTCACTATTAAACCATTTTTTAATGTATGATGAATAGTATGCTCTGAAATTTCAATATTCTCAGTTTTATGAAAATAATTTTGGATAATAATAGTAATAGAACAGTTATGAAATATAATAAAATGGATTATTATTCTTTTTAACTGGTCATTTAATAATTATGAATGACTAAACTTATATTATTTAAAATATGCTATTTTTATTATTTTTTATTAATAGATTTTTGCTATTTCTTTTGTGATATATCCATTTTGAAGTGAAATAATTATTTCAGTTCTTTCTTCAAGAATTATATGATATTTTGATTTTTGATTTTTATTGTTAAAAAGCTATAACATAGTTTAAAAAAAAAGATAAATAAAATAGTTGTTTATTTTGCAACTTCTGTATAATATTACTTACTATTTGATATTTTGAATAAAAGATCAAAAAAATGCAACACTTATTTGTGTGAATTTGTATATTTATCTCAAAAAATAGTAAATTAAATTTAATAAATAAAACTGATACTATTAATATACCATATTTATTAATTTTATTAAATTTGCTGGCTACTTATAAATATATCATGATTTCAATTTTGCGTTGCATTACTTTTGATCATCACTATATATACATATTCAAATAAGTTTATTCGAATTCCAACACTAAGATGCATAATTAATCATCTAATTGGAAAATAACTATTTTTTGCTTACAATTTGGCAATAAATAAATTAATAAATTTGTTCATTAATATTTAATTATAAGTAAAATCCTAAATTAAATAATAAATTATTGTAATTAAAAAAATAAAATATGAAGTTTTAAATTGATTTTCTCAATGTTAGACGCTAATCACTAAGAGAGGCTTTTCTAGTTTAAAGAAAATACTTTCATTTATATATTTTTATATTATGCATAGTCGAATTTTATCGATATAAAAAGTTAACGCTTCTAGAAAGATTAATGTATAGTTGCATTACTATGAACAAATTGCATAAAATTCTAATTAATATAAGTGTTGTATGTGTATATAGCAAAAGTACTTTATTATGTAGTTTACAGAGCTCGTCAACCTGGATTAATAAAAGAATACTTTATCAAAAATCTTATACATGTTGTGCATATATCTTACACTAAAATTTAAAAAAATTAATTAATAATTTTCTGTAGAAATTATGAAATAAATAAATAATATTTTGAAGCTTATAAGTTTCATAAATAATATTGATAAAATTTATTAAAGTGTGCTATTAGAAATATTCAGTTTATTTAGTATAATATATTTATCAAGGAAGATTTATTATGGCTGATCTTGGAACAAACTTTCGCTTAGCGAGGCTCAGTCTAACGAGATTTGATTGCATAGTATTCTTATCACATTTATTATTTAAAGTTTGAATCGTGAAATTATATAAATTTGATATTGAAGATAGAAAAACACTGAAATCTCAAATTAAATATCATAAAAAATTTAATTATTGATAGCAACAGAGACTCAAAATTTAAATGTTATATACAGTATTAGATTATTTTTGTGTTTAAACGAAAACCAGATTTCAAAACTGGATGCCACCACAATCCAACATCTCCACAATCCATCTTCCTGACAATCCAACATCCTAATAATCCAACTTCGCGAAATTAAATATCCAGATAAACCTAATTTCCAACTTCCCGAAAAACTAATTAAATTTCTGATTTATGTCTGACAGGAGTTGGATATGTCGGGACATTCGGTATGCTAGATTGTCGGGAAGATGGATTGTCAGGATGTTGGATTTTTGGGAAGATGGATGTCGGAATGTTCAAAACTATAGACAATAATTAAATAAGCGAAGAAAGATAGTAATAATTTCAATGATATTTTAATATTTTTAAGCAATCATAAATAAAATTTATGATCTATAATTATTCATTAGTATGTGTGACTAAAATATTGATAATGATTGCATAAATTCAGATTTCATATTTTTTTAGTTTAGTACTAGCTCATATTTATATATTTGATTTTGTGCTGTTCGAATTTATTTATTAATTAATATAACAATAAATGACCTGATCGATACAAAATATCTCTTGATATATCGATTATATTGAAAAATTTATTAGTAGATTCACTTATTGGGAGGATTAATTTTGAGCTCCAGGTTCACTATAGTATTACTGTTCATAAGTAACCCCTTTTAAATTAATCAAAAATGAAGCAAAATAAATAATTTTTTTATTTAAAATACATTATTAGTCCTAATCCTGGTAATATAATATAATTTTTATTGAACTTTATTAATGCCAAAATAGAGTCTAATCAATTTCAGTAAATTTTATTGGAAAGATAATTTCTTTTGTTATTTGTATTACAGAATTTTAGAACAAATTGGTAACAAATTACCAATCAGCTGGAAATCATTATCATTGAACTGTGAATTGTTTGTAATCAATTCCCAAAGAAAAATTGGTTTTATCAAAAATTAATGTTAAAAAACATGATCACTTTGCAAATAGAATATCTTGGTGTTTAATGATTCATTTCATAAGTAAAAGTTATCATTTAATTCATCTTGACTAATCGAATGGTAACATTTACATGTGAATCGGATCACTGGATGCAGAGATATAAAGTAAGGGGACGGATATATATCACGTAATTATTGAAGGGGGGAGGGAATCTCAAAAATCTCACCATCCACATGATCAAAATAATTAGCCAATCAAATATAATAAAAATCTCATCTGGGGGGGGGGAGGGTCAGTTCTATAGTAACAACATATTACGTGATATATGTCTATCCCCTAACCGAATCATTCTGTTTATCAATTTTCCATTAAAAATTAAAAGTCTGATATAATATCTCGGCATCTAGTAATCCGATTCGTATGAAAATGCCATCATTCAATTCGTCTCATCAAGGTGAATTCTGATAACTGAGTGTCAAAATATTGGATTATAAACAAAAATTAGTATCATTTAGAAAAAATTACAAAGGTAATAAAATTGGATATAGAGATTCTATAAGGATATAATAACATAGAGCATCAGAATTTATATTATTCTTTGTATTGTGAAATTTTCAAAGCATGTTATTGAATTTACAGAATATTAGAAGGGGCAGGTTACTTGACCAGACTGTATTAAATACGTAATGAGTACATTGCACCTATGTAATACTCATCGGCTGTGACAAGTATAAGGGTTGGCAATAATAAGTAATATAATTTTATTATACTGTAACACCCACCCACACCTGAGATATGCACATGAATTTTATGAACCTGAGGTTAACGTGAATTCAGCCATCCACCCCAATATCGATATTAGTTAATATTTGTCGATCCGCTAGTATCAAATAGTTTTACCGAAATTTTGACATGATAAACATCTTGTCAAAATCCAATATTAAATATGGACTAATTTTTCAAAAAGTTGCATTTTCATTCTCATTTTTACCTGTATTTTAAACCATAGGCGAAACCTACACTGTTCGACCATGAACACATTTTTATGAGGTCAATCCTCTTCTAGATTCCTTAATAACAAAAATATTTGAGTTAAATTTTACTAATAAAAATATTCATTTAAATCACTTAATTTCATTAGTTTAGAAATAATAATTTATTTTTAACTTTTAGACATTCTCTAGATTATTAGTTTTAAAATGACCAGGTACATTTAATCGGTGTTAGAGGTACTAGAATTTTTTTTTGCAAACTATTTTCCTTCCTTTTGCAATTTACTGTCTGTGTTTCTTATTCTAAAAAGTTATTTCGAACTCTGAATTAGCATGATCTCAAGACGAGGATATATTCGAAATGAGATATCACATTTTAGGTCATCCCAACTACCATATTGAGCACATAATTATTCTATATGATGATGATTTTGAAAATCTAAGTTTATAACGACAGATAGAAAAAAATATGGCAATAGTTATATTGGAAGAATAAATCACCTTTAGAATTATTGATTTGAAATCTTAATTTTTAGAATCCATAAAATTTATGCTAATAATTTCTTACATAAATTTTTAACTTTTGGTGGCTTCTGAATTTTAATGAAATTTTAGATGTAACAATGGTAATGAAAGAAGGTTCCAGCCTTCAAATAAAACAAAATGCTGACATTCGTATAACAATATATACGTTTTCTTTTTTCTATATTAGATAATTTCAAATAATGCTCATTATCGAAATCCCCTACTTTTTGAGATTGTAGGAATCAGTATTCTTTCTGTATATTATCCTGGTTATAATCATAGAAGTTTTTGTTTTGATAAGCAAGAGGTTGTTCAAATTGTGTTACAAATGTTATCAAAGCTGAAGCTAGAATTTTGGATGAATTTGTCTTGATAATTGGAAAATTGGCCAGATTGAGGAGCAGAAGTTTGTGTGGATTCGTCATGATTACCGGAAAGTTGATCAAACTGAAGAATAGAATCTTGGATGGAGTTGTCTTGATAATTGGAAAATTGGCCAGATTGAAGAGCAGGAGTTTTGGTGGATTCGTCTTGATAAATGGCAAGATGAAGAGTAGAATTTTGGATGAATTTGTCTTGATAATTGGAAAATTGGCCAGATTGAGGAGCAGTAATTTGTGTGGATTCGTCTTGATAACTGGAAATTTGATTAAGCTGAGGCATAGAATTTTGGACGAATTTGTCTTGAAATTGGCCAACTTTAAGAGCAGGGACTTGTGTGGATTCGTCATGATTACCGGAAAGTTGATCAAGTTGAACAGTAAAATTTTGGATGGGCTTGTCTTGATAATTGGAAAGTTGGCCAGACCGAGGAGCAATAATTTGTGTGGATTCGTCTTGATAACTAGAAAATTGATTAGGCTGAGGCGTAGAATTTTGGACGAATCTGTCTTGAAATCGGCTAAGTTGAAGAGCAGGAACTTGTATGGATTCGTCTTGATAACCGACAAGTTGAGTAGAATTTTGGATGGATTTGTCTTGATAATTGGAAAATTGGCCAGAT